GCTGGGTCAGTTGACAGAAATATGGGACACACAGGCCTATAATAACTGCTGAAATGTTTGCGGGGCAAATCTCAGATCAGTCTGAGCGCTCATGGTACTCACAGTGCGTACAGCCGTACACCTGCATGCGCCACAGACTCGGACGGTTGTCGTGGTAATAAACAGCGTAAACAGCAAACGTTCGCGTGTCCGCGCTTAATGTGCATATCCTATATGAAAAGCATTTTAGGGGGCCCTTAGCTTTTGGGGGCCCAAGGCGGTCGCATACCTTTGCCTAATTGGTAAGTCCGCCCCTGATGGTTTGTCACAGAATGTGTAGCATGTTAATAACACATACACACAAAAAAGCATACTTTATCGCCATCTACTGGAGTAACGATATACAGTAACCTGATAAGATTGATGACTGTAATTTAATTACTTTTCCTTTTAAAAGTAAGGAATTACTCTTAATTTTTCTGTAATTTAATTACAGTTACTTCTTATGTACTTGCATTAAATACTGTATAGACTATAGAACAATTCGATATAAAACAATAGTGGATTTAACACCAAAATTTAACATCTAATGTTATAATGTAAGTTTTTAATGTTAAAAAATTTAACATTTCTTAAACAATTTTTAAGAAAAGGGATGAGTCAAAAGTATCAATTATTATATTAATTTAAACAATTATTATCAATTAATTATATTAAATAACATATAAATATATCTTAGTTTCTTAATTGTTTAGATTTTTATCATGCATTAGCTTTTTGTCGATCCACTGGTTCACATTTAAAAATATGTAGCAAAAATAGCAGATGGGCTTATTGAAAAAGCAAATTCGTTCTCTGCCAGCAGGTGTCGCTTTCGAAACTGTAGTGGTTTCAATATAGTGGTTTCCCCGGTGACCGCAGTACACAAAGCTGACGTGCAGCGCTCAAGTTTATTCAGTGAAATCATAGCCTTTTGAAGTTTAATCGTCATATTAATCCATATAACAATTCTTGTCTTTCCGTCCCCAAAGACCTCTTATAATTTAGACTTTTTGTACCATTTAAGAGTTTGCATGGCCTTAAATGTAAACAATTTAACTGAAGAAGTTTTAAGGATGGTAAACAGATGATCTTTTTACCAAGTTCAAGGGGATACTGTTTTCTTGGTCAGTTTTTCATTTATTATTTGCTAATGTTAGTGAATGTTTACATTAGAGTGCACGTCCTACTACGCTGAAATTAATAGGGGAGCGGCTGGAAACTAGCGACCTCTCCTGGTTGGAGATAGTATTAACATCATAAACTGAAAGCAATCTTTACGTGACTTGCTTTTCAAATGTTTTAAAATTGATCATCCGAGTCTAATATGATCTAGCGGGCCGTACTAGATCATATTATCATACCCGTGGGCCGCCAGTTGCCCATCCCTGGCGTACATGAATGAATCAATAAATAAATATTTCAACAAATTACGTAATCTCCAATTGACCAAATATCAAATCCTTTTATTTAAGAGCAACTCGTCTCTTCACTCACTTGTAGCGCAGTCTCTCCTCCCGGTCAGCAGGGGGCTCGTGCGTGATGAGGTTGAGGAGATCCAGCATGCTGCTGTCCCGGGAGAGGAAGAGGAGGAGGCGCTGATTCTGGGTCTTGCACTCCTGCAGCACATCTTCTTCATCCAGCAGCTCCTGTAGGGTCACGTCCTCCTTCTCCAAGAGCTTCTCAATCTGAGAGGAGTTGTGCAGGTCGAACTTCCAGAACATGACTGCAGCTTACAGTAGAGAGAGAGAGTGCCTGAGACAGAGAGAGAGAGAGAGAAAGAGAGAGAGAGAGAGTTACTCAAGCATATCAGAATAACAAAGCAAGCCGATGTTTTACAGAGTTTGCAGGTCACTGACTTAACAACACTCTTGGTTAGTCAAAAAGTCAATAAAGAAAATGCACCAGAAGAGATCAATGTATAAATAATACACAGTAAAATTAACACCTACAGTATAAATAAAACATATTCAGAGCGGCACATACAGCAACTATTAAACATCGGCGAGTCAGCTGTAATGAGAATCAATTGCATCAGTCAGTTAAATACTATTAGCTGATCTGATTTCATTTGCCTTCAGGTTGGACTGTCCCTGGACTTGTATACCACACCAAATCTTACATTGCATAGGATTATGTGTATAATACTAATTTGATGATACAGCGTTCAAAATATCAAAAAAATAAGTGAAGATGATATACACTACCGGTCAAAAGTTTGGGATCAGTAAGACTTGTCATTTTTTTTAAAGAAATCTCTTATGCTCATCAAGCCTGCATTTATTTGATCAAAAATACAGGAAAAAAACGTAATCTTGCAAAATGTTATTACAATATAAAATAATGGTTTCTATTTAAATATCCTTTCAAATATAATTTATTCCTGTGATCAAAGCTGAATTTCCATCAGCCATTACTCCAGTATAAAGTGTCACATGATCCTTCAGAAATCATTTGAATATGCTGATTTATTATTAGAATTATCAATGTTGGCAACAGTTGATCCTCGCTGAATAAAAGTTTTAATTTCTTTCAAAAAAAGAAAGAATAAAAATCTACTGACCCCAAACTTTTGAACGGTAGTGTATATTGTTAGAAAAGATTTCTATTTTAAATATATGCTCTTCTTTTTAACTTTTTATTCATCAAAGAATCCGAAAAAAAAGTATCACAGGTTCCAAACAAATATTAGCAGCACAACAGTTTCCAGCACTGATAATAAATCAGCATATTAGAATTAGTGGTCGACCGATATTGGTTTTTTGACAGCCTATGCCGATATCTTGGAAAGCAGGGTGGCCGATGGCCGATATCTGAAAGCACGTGATGATGATCTCCTGCTGATTACAGAACCGGCTTTACTAACAAAATGTGCATGACAATCGCATTCGATTAATCGTGCAGCCCTAATTCAGGATACAAATGCACACTTAACAAGATCTCACAACTGGATTCGACTAAGTTTGCAAGCTTTATGAAATGAAATGTTCATTAGTCATTCAAAGATTTGTTTAAATGAAAATGCATAAAGCGCAGCATAATTTGAAATCACGAGTTTAAAGTTTGTCGATCGTGCGTCTCCAGTGAAGCTGAGCTCTCCTCCTGTCAGCATTAAATTCACACGGATCGACCGTCACGCAGAGAACATGCGATCATTTTAATGTATATTAAAATAGAAAAATTTTATTTTACATCATAATAATATTTCACAATATTACATTTGTTCCTGTATTTTTTATCAAATAAATGCAGCCTTGATGAGCTTAAGAAACTCCTGTAAAAAATATTAAAAATCGCTCTGATCCCAAACTTTTGACCGGTAGTGTATATGTATCAGCTTTACCAAAATAACAAAAGCAGTCAAATGTTTTAGTTCTCAAAGGTTTCCGTTTTAAATAACAAAATAAGTATTTAAAATATATATAATATAATGTACAAACTGCAAAGGGGTTGAAAACTATGTTCAAATACTCAAATTCAATGTCAAAGAACTTTACATAAACACAAGTTTATAAATAAATAAGCTGTTTCGCCTAAATCTGTCATTTTCTGTCTGTTGTTTGGATGTAGTAAAACCCCCACAAATTTAGAAGAAAACACCTGGGTTTCTTCTGTCACTGGCCATAATTCTATCCTTGACATCAGGATTAGGCATAAAATAATGTCTTCAGAATCATTCATACAGTACATGTGAAAATCGGCAGCGAATTGAACGAACAGTTCTAACCTTTCCAAAGAAAGACAGGAATCATGTCTTTGTGGCAGTTTTTCCTGCTGATTAAGGGATAATACAACACTTCTTCACCTTACGAATGGTTGTTAAAAGCAAAAAAGCTACAAAATGCATCATATTTTGTGAGAAAGTGTGACGTGCCAGAGCAAAACAGGCAGTATTTTTGGAATCAGCAGCCCAAAATGACTAAGAAACAAGCATTGAATTTCAGTCAGCAAATATGATACAGGGCGGTGTTATGTGTATAATCCAATGCTGGTATTGTTTATAATTCACCCATTGAGCATCTTAGGCAGTAAATTACCTTCAGTCAGATGGTGTGTTTCCTTAGTTGGGATGCAGAGACCAGTTTACACACATTGGTTTATTAGATCGAGTGGTCAGTGGTCAAATATCCCATCCATCCACAAGGCTGCCTCATATTACAACACAGGCACCTGTAGGGAAAAGACAAGTCATCAAGACATGACTAAGACCAGTGAGACGAACAGTCCATCAGATGAGTGCTGAGGAAAGCATGCCATGCACACTTCAATTAAGCCACATCATGGTTCTGTAATATGACTAGGACTCAGGCTGAATAAGCTAAGCTCGTTTAAACACACATGAAGGTATTCACACACACACACACACACACACACACACACACACACACACACACACACACACACACACACACACACACACACACACACACACACACACACACACACACACACACACACACACACACACACACACACACACACACACACACACACACACACACACACACACACACACACACACACACACACACACACACACACACACACTTATATAGAACACACTCACAGAGAGAAATATTTAAGCTGAGCAAAAGTATAACATTTATATAGAAATCTCCATCGTTTTTAATGTTATTACTTTTTTTTTACTTTTTCAGCACTAGATATCATATATTTTGAGGTAGACAGATAGATAAACAAACAGACAGACTGACAAAAAGAACAATAGATGATGGATAGAATGACAGAATGACAGACAGACCAATAGAACAATCTATCTATATAGTTCTATCTATCATCAGACAGACAGACAGACAGACAGACAGACAGACAGATAGATAGATAGATAGATAAAAACAATAGACAGAACGAACGACAGACAGACAGATAGACAGAACGATAGATAGACAGAATGTTAGATAGAATGATAGAATAACGGACGGACGGACGGATGGATAGATAAAAAAACAATAGAACGATAGAACAACAGACAGACAGACAGACAGACAGAATGACAGAACGACAGATAGATAGATAGATATATAGATAGATAGATAGATAGATAGATAGAATGTTAGACAAATGACAGACAGAATCATAGAAGGACAGAACTATACATTTTTAAATTTAAATACATGCTTGATGTCTCCTTTTATATATTCATCTAATGGCAGAACTGTCAAAGTGAGGTTTAAACATTATGAACACCAGGCAGCAAATACTGAAGAACTGAAATCATGTGTGTTTGGAGAAAGCAGGAAT